GGTAATACATTATACACTAACCGGTATTGAGGGCGAAACCAAAACACAGCATAGAAAGTCTTACTTCACTCGAATTCTGTTATGGTTGAAGCTTTGACAGCTTGCAATGAGTTTCGTTTGCAACTGTCTTCATGTGAGGTTAGATGAAAAGTTTGATGAATAAGAAATAAAAGAAAATGCAGAACAAATACAAATCAATATGAATGAAGTGAACTCACAGTGACAGTCTTTTTACAAGGTAGTGTAAATGAGTTAAATATGTATATGAAGGGTTTTCTGTTGTTGACTTCTATATGCAATTCCCAGTCTTCCAGTTGTTGGACCTGCAGGAGTCAGGTAATAAAGTAGTTACAAAACAAGTGAAGACCACACAAACAAATAACTAACAACAAATACAAAATATTTAACAAATAAAAAAGTATTTAAACCACTAATACCATCTTCAGAAAGCGAAAGAGAGTGCCTGCAAGCAGTTCACTTTCATTCAGTTATTCCCATGGTGTACTGTATCTATGTTGATATATAGGTTTCTATCATTTCAAGAGTCATATAATTTAAAAATAATGGAATGGAAATAACTTCCTTCATTTATATATGTTTACCTGACATTACCTGAAAGGACTTGTTGCTTAGAGTGACAAAATTGCCCTTTGGGTCGACGTGATGCACAGTGATGTGTCCTGTTGCTGAGTCCTTTCTGGTCAGGCAGGTGTTGGGCTTCTTCACCTTTATCTGAGAGTGCCCAATCTCCAGCATTAATCTCTGCTTTAGCTGAGAAAGAAACGACAAACACACACACACACACACACACACACACAGACAGGCAGACAGACAGACAGATGGATGTTGCGTTGGATGGGGTTGAGGTCAGGTTTTTCTGAAGTTCCTCCACACAACAAAGTTTACTACTGTCTAAAATATCATTGTATACTGTAGCATTAAGATGTCCCTACTTTAGAACTAAGGGCTTTGATCAAACCTAAAAAATTAAAGCCCAGATCAAAAGTATGTGTGTGTGGGTGTCAGTGTCCACATCATTTGGG